CCTGGAATGACAGCAACTCTGTGTCCCAGCACCCCCAGTGAAGTAACCTCTAGGTCTGCCAAGATGAAAGGAGGCCAGGGTAAGAAGGATGAACTTGAGACCACTCCAGGAGGCCAGGGGGACAAGACATGGTCAGCCCCCTGCCACGTAGTAACTTGCAGCTGAGCTGAGCTGAACTTCAGGAATGAGGCAGGGAGGTAGGCGTGCTGGCCTCAGAGGAAGTCATCCGAAGATAGAGGGCTGTCCACTCAGGCTTTGGGGGGGAGACTTTTCCTTATCAGCCACACTTCTCCCTTAGCAGCTTCTGTGAGCTAACAAATGTTTCCAGGTCTGGAAAGCAGGGAGAAGGCAGAAGGGACACTCCCTCCTTCCTCCCCCCACCCCCATGGTTATACCTCTGCTTCTCTTGGGTTTATCCCCTTGCCCATCCTGGGAGCAGGCTGTGGTGGGCACTGAGTGTACAGACAGTTCAAACAGGGCCTGGAGCCATGGTGACACATCTTGTCACTGAGGACCCATGGGAAAAGAGGAAGGCCTGGATGACAAGCAGCCCGGAGCAGAGAAGTCTTGGGGTAGGGGTGGGAAAGCACCTCCCTTTTCCTACCCAGTGTCCTGGCCACAGACCACACACACCTCTGTCTATAGTTAGACTTTCAAACCACAGAGGAAAGAAAAAACAAAAGGGTAGAGGAGGGGATATCTGAGCAAAAGAAGGGAGGGGGCTGGAGGGAAAAGGAAGTACCAGAAACACAGAGAACAAGTGGAGGTCCTGGAGGCCACAGGGACCTAAAGACCACCAAGTCCAGCCAGGGAAAGTGAAGCCAGAGAAGCAAGGCTTATGGGATTTACTGCTCATGCGTGGGGTCTGCCCGCCTTCAGGACAGCTCTACAGGTAGAAGTCACCATCTCCATTTACAAATGGGCAGTTCTCACCTGCCCAACCTCTCCTAGGTGGTGAGTAACTGGTCTGGCTGACTTCAGAGTCTTTTGGTCTGCTCTAGTTCCCAACCTTTCCTGCTCCAGGCTCAGGATCTAAGAATTGAAGTCATTCAGCCTCTGGGTTCATCATTTGGGGTTAGGGCTCTAATTCTGGCTGTAGGTGACCTTGGTACCTGGTCTTTAATTTCCCCATCTATAAAATGGGTCTGGGCTGTGAACACTGAATCGGCCAGTGATTCCTTAACCCTCTGTTCCTATCACCCTGAACAAACCTAGACACTTTCCTTTGGCCTGGGTGGTCTTTAGGAAAAGGGCTCTGGGCTCCATTTCAGAACTGAATGTTGGCAAGGGGACCAAGAGAATGAGGCAACCCAGCCAGCCACGGAGGCTGTGGATCTCCCTCCCCCCCCCACCCCGCACCGCCCCCCAGGGACTGCTGCTGCCTCCTGCACTGAAAGCAATTTGTCATGCCCTGAATTAAGTGATTCCAACAAGGGTTTAATTTCAGTTTAATGGCTCTGTTTTTATATGTAATTAAATACCATTGCATGGTGAAAATATGTTGTTTGCACTTTAGAGACTTTGTAAGGGTCTGGGAAGCCAATCCCACAGTTTCTACTCTTGACTCCACCAGCCTCCCCACCCCCCCAAGCTTGGCTGGAATTGTCCAGGTCAGGGTAAGGGGGTTGGGAACTAGAGAAGGAGATTGGGGAGAAGAAAGGAGAGAGGTGGTCTTGGTGGCGCCTGACCATTCAGAAGAGCATGTTTTTAATTATCTACCCTCCCTCCCCCGCTATACTTCTATTCTTTGACTTCAATCTTCCCCAACCCCTGGGGCCTCAGAGAGGGACAGGTCACTCCACAATAAGGATCTCATTAGACCCTTGACTGGCTGGGGTGCTGTCTGTTCCCCACAGTGGGTATGTCCACAGGCTGGCTCCATTGTCTCCCACTCATTGTCCTCATTAGCTCTCCTCTCCCCCTGAATATATTTTTGCTCAACATCCCCCTCCTACAACACAGTCCCCTCCTCCCTGCAAGCTTGGGTACCCCAGACTTCCAGCACCATACTACCATTTTATCTAGACTACTTCTGGGTCAGAGGTGACACTATATCACAGGGGCCTGGAATGAAGGGGAGCTTCCCTAGCTAGGAATGTTTTGGGGTCATTTACCACACAGCTACATAACCCTCTCAGGAAAGGGGGACTGAGCAGGTGCCACAGCCTCAGTGCCTCGAGACAATTCTGGACCATTTGAGCAACAAGATCTGGCTGAATAAGGGTCGCAGTTACTGAATCTCAAAACTTGATGGGGGGAGGGGGGCATGGCCAGCTTTCAGAGATTGTCCTACCCCGCAGTGTGAATCACTCCAAGTCTCTTATTTTTTCCTCCCCAACCCCATCCTGTCTTCTTTGTTGTTGTTAGTCGTGGGGCCTGAACTCAGGACCTGGGCGCCATATATGAGCTCTTTTTGCTGAAGGTTAGCACTCTACCACTTTGATTCCCATTGCCACTTCTGGTTTTCTGGTGGTTAATTGGAGATAAGTGGTCCAAATTGTTGCCGGCCCCGGCTGGCTTTGAATGGTGATCTTCAGATCTCAGCCTCCTGAGTAGCTAGGATTAGAGGTGTAAGCCACCAGTGCCCTGCTCATCTTGCCTTCTTATCAGTGTAAATTACCCTAATTCATTGTGATATCAGGGCTTGATCTTTACTAATGTTTCCTAATAAACTGAGAAGCATAAAACAAAAGTTTGTTCTCATGGATTAGCACCCCATGAGCTACAGGATCTAGAAGACAGAACACCCACTTATCTTCCCGCTCCAAGCTAGTGGGAGAGAATGTCATTACTTGGGAAGGTAGAGCAGAACTGGATTTCAGTTCTCTAGTTCATTCAGGTATGGTGGCCCCACCAGGACATAAAGACTATGGTCCACTTCCCTCACATACTGTGGAGGGTATTCACTCTCCTCTGACAACTATAGAGGGACCACATAAGGAAGAATATGTGGAAGCCATATTGGGAGGGCCTATGTACAAATGGAGAGCTTTTTTGTTTGTGATGGTGGTGGTTGTGGGGTTTGAACTCTAGGGGTGGGCGCTGTCCCTGAGCTCTTCAGCTCAAGGAAAGTGCTCTACCACTTAAGCCACAGCGCCACTTCTGGTTTACTGGTAGTTAATTGGAGATCAGAGTCTCATGGATTTTCCTGCCTGGGCTGGCTTTAAACCTTGATCCTTAGAGCTCAGCCTCCTGAATAGCTAAGATTACAGGTGTGAGCCACTGATGCCCAGCTGGAGAGCTGTTTCTTCTTCTTCTTTCTTTCTTCTTCTTCTTCTTCTCTTCTTCTTCTTCTTCGTCTTCATCTTCGTCTTCTTCTTCTTCCGTTTTTGATGTTGAGTCTGGCCAAGCAGTCCAGGAGGGAAGGAATGTTTCTGTAGAATGTGGAACCCCTCCCATCCCCTCCCCCAGCACATGCATACATCCTCTATTTTCTCCTGCTAGGCAGATCCCTAGGGACACCTAATGAGTGAGGATCTTTCCTCCATGAGGGATGGGCATACTCTGAGGTTGTCTTGCTTTCTCCTTGTGACATGACACACCCATGTCCACATCTAGAAGCCTACACTCAAGATTCATTCAGACCACACGTACACACTACACAATAGCATATCTTGTACCTTATCTGTCCCCATCACACAGGTACATGTGTGAAAGCCCAAATTCTCACTTGCATTTCAGGCAATACTGTGCATATCTACATGTGTGCATGCACATACACACAGCTTTGTGTGTGTGCACATATTGTGTGTGTTTGGCTGGAGATAGAACCCAGGTCCTGGAACCTGCTAAACCAACCTTGTGTTTGTTTATATTGGTTTTGGGTTTTTTTGAGACCAGTGAAAGGGAGAAAGAAAAAAAAAAAGACTTCTTAAGACCTTCTTATCACAAGGTAAGAGCACTGGAAAGGGCTGGAGAGCAGCAGGGGTGGGAATATAGGTCTTTGGGTAAGGATACCTTCCCTACCTTGGCTAAGATAAAGTAAGGATATCTTCCCTACCTTCAGGCTGCACCACCCCCTACACCAACATCACTTGGCCTGAGTCCCAGAGGGGGCAGTTCTATGAAGAAAGGCCAAGGGTTGGGGGAGTAACCTCAAGGCCACTTTGTTCTTTATCTTTTGCTACTGGCAGTGGCCTTACCAGGCCACCCCCACTGGGGCCAAGATAAAGACCAGCCAGAGAGCTGCCTGGGCTAGAGATGCAGGCAGTCCCAATGCTGCAGAAACCTGGGGGAGGGAGAGGGAAGGAAGCAGGGAAAGCAGTGAAGTCAAGGCTCAGGGAACCCAGGACACAGAAGGAGAGTCCCCCCCATCAGGCAGCAGACTACCTGCTTGGGGTCCCCAGGTAGCCTGGGACCTTCAGGGAAGGAATCTTCTTCTAAAAGACTGGCCCATCCCAACACATACACACACACACACACACACACACACACACACACACACACAGAGGCATGGTCAAGAATCCACGTGGGCCCAAATTCTCAAGTAGGTGCTGGCACTGGCTTTGCTATAGCAAAGTCAAGAACACTCCCACCCCCAAACACACTCCTCAGAATCAAACCTGGACATGAGAGCAGTGGAACCTGCTGCAGAGTATAGGCCCCTTCCCCAACTGTAAGGCATACCTCCTTCCCCTGCCTCCAACTATACCAGTAAACTGAATGGAGTTGTGAATCCAATCTGCTTAGTGCCTTAGGAATAGCCCCAAAACTTGATGAAGCAGCTGATCTAGAAACCATTCTGATCCAGCAGGGCTGCTCTTTGCCATGCCCTGCATTCAGAAGCCGCAGTCTGCCTACCAGAAGTCTAAGAGCCTGGACTACAGAGGAAGGAAGCCCTCATCAGAGGTCTTAGAGAGGGTATGAGTGGACCAGTTGTTCTCTGTGGTCTTTTACCAGCCAAGCAGGTCTAGGGACCATTCAGTGTCCATCTTTCTCCATCTTTAATATGTCCCTGTCTCTAACCAGAAATAAACCAAGCAAACACAATTATCTGGATTTTGTTTTGTTTTGTTTAAAAAAAAAACACCAACAAAGAAAGATGGGAAGAAAAGGAAAGTAAGGAAGAAAAGACATCATGGCCAACCCACAGGTCCCTATGTCTCCTTCCATACAGCCAAGCCAGAAAATAACCAGGGGAAATGGGATATGGAGAGGAAGGTATAAGGGAATGAGATATGAGAAGAGAGACAGAGCCACAGGCAGTAAGCATTGGACAGATAGGGTCATCCTGGTGACTACAAATAGGGTAGGCAAGGCCCTCATCCCCCAGCATGGGGTCCTCTTGTCCATCAGGCACACTCAATCCAATCCTGTATTCTTTCTTCCCACTGACTGTGTAAGCCCTCTGTCCGGCAGGTCTTCCTCTGACCCTATCTCCTAATGGCAGAGTCTCAGCTCTGAGGCAACCAAGTGCACGACATAATACCCAGAACCCAAAGGTGGGCCTGCCGCTCATTCACCAGGTCTTTCCCTGGTAAGACCTGGGGAAGAAGGGCAGGGAGCCCAGTCAACCTTAGCTGCAGGGACTAAAGCTAGGGCTGGGCCTCAAGAGCCCTGAGCCATCAGCATCCTTCACTTCCTGATGGCTCCCACCCTCTGGCTAGACTGAGGGGAGGGACAACTGTCAAAGTATGCCACTCTCTTCCTCTCTGACTCTGGAGGTGAGGTTCCCTCCTCTTCCACAGGCTTGCACTCACTTCATAGGAATTTATGCCACATCAGAGGAAGGTAGGATGAGGGTTGCCAGGGCTGAAAACTAGAGCTGGCACACAGTATGTGGTCAATAAATGTCTGTAGATGCTGAATGAATGAGTGAATGAATGAATGAATGAATGAGTCCAGGATCGATTTGGAAACACACTGGGGTTTTCCATTGCCACTCTCAGACCTCTTGGGTTATCTATCCCCAAAGAGGATATTGTAGGCTCCGGCTTACCCCAAGGGCATACTCATGCCCTAAACACACACACACAAACACACAGACCTTCAAGGAACTTTGGGACCAGAGACAAAGCCAGGACTCAGACCCAGACTCCATTCCAGGTCAACTCTGCAGCCCCCAGAGAATGGGGGGTGCCCCCTGCCTGTGGGCAGGCCTCACTCTCGGAAGCTGTCAGCCAGCTGGTGGCAGTCCAGCTCCCCCTTGGGCTCCAACCCCCCTGGAAGCTTCACTCCTGTCTTCCGGTCCACACACCAGCATTTGCCGCGCTGCCCATCCAGAGCTGGGTGACACTGCCAAGACAAGGACATGAGGGGGGAGAGGTTACTCAGCTCCCAGGTAAGAACGGAGTGCCCTCAAGGTCAGACAGTGCTCCAAAATAGCATGTGAGGGCGGAGGCTCTTTTTGAGCACTGATCCTCTAAGCCTCTGAAAGTAGAGAGAATTTGGCAAGAGGGAAACATTCAGAGAGCTTCCCTAGCCTCTAGGGCTGAAAGACATACCTGGGTTTGTGCTGGAGATGTTTTGGGGGATATGCTCTGAGTAGACTGGGTCTTGAAGAATAGGATTATAAATTAGAACAGCATCCAAGTTAAGGTTAAAGGCAGGATCAGGATTAGAATTGCAGCTAAAATTTGACTCAGGTAAGACTTAGAATCCGGGTCGGAGACAGACAAGATAAAGATAGATAGAGGCCAAGGGCTGGGGTAGAAGGCTTTTCTAGCATGAGTGAGGGCCTAGGATTAATCCCCAGCAGATAGACCCCCCCAAAAAAATAAAAGTAAAGATAGAAGGCAGGTACCAGTGGCTTGTGCCTATAATCCTAGCTACTTAGGAAGATGAGATTTGAGGTTCGAGGTTCAAAGCCAGACAGGTAGGAAAGACTCTTATCTCCAAATAGCCAGAAGTAGAGCTGTGGCTCAAGTGGTAGAGCAGTAGTCTTGAGCATAGTACCCCTGAGTTCAAGCACCAGGACTGACACAAAAATAAATAAATAAATAAATAAGATGTTCAGGACAAATGAAATTGGACTAAAGTTCAGGTCAGAGTTAGACAGTGGGGATGGGGCAAATATTCAGCAATTCAGCATCATAACCAGAACTGGAAGTAAGTTTGGCTCATAGGTCAGAAAACTGATCTAGGGATAAAGGGTCAAGTGTCACAATTCTCCCTGTAATAAAAATCTGGAGGAGGGGCTGGGAATGTGGCCTAGTGGTAGAATGCTTGCCTAATATGCATAAAGCCCTGGGTTTGATTCCTCAGTACCACATAAACAGAAAAAGCCAGAAGAGGCACTGTGGTTCAAGTAGTAGAGTGCTAGCCTTGAGCAAATGAAGCTCAGGCACACTGCCCAGGCCCTGGGACAGAGCCCAGGCCCAGAGTTCAAGCCCCACAACCGTCAAGGAAATAAATAAATAAACAAACAAACAAATAAATAAAAATTTTAAAAAGGAAGGGAGGGAGGGAGAATAAGAGGAAAAAATAAAGAGAAAGAAAAGAAGGCAGGAAGACAGGAAGGCAGGCAGGCAAGAAGGAAGAAAAGAAGGAAGGAAGGAAGAAAGGAAGGAAGGAAGGAAGGAAGGAAGGAAGGAAGGAAGGAAGGAAGGAAGGAAGTGGGGATAGAGGCATGGCTCAGCAGTGCAGTAATGTCTACCCAGCAAGAATAGGTCTGGGATTCAAACCACAGTCCTGCCAAAAAAATACTGTCTATTCTTTTTTTTTGGTCAGCAGTAGGGCTTTAACTCTGGGTCAGCTCTTCAGCTCAAGGCTAGCGCTCTACCACTTGAGCCACAGTGCCACTTCCGGCTTTTATTCTTTTTGCTTATGTGGTACTGAGGAATCGAACCAGGGCCTCATGCATGCAAGGCAGACACTCTACCACTGAGCCACCTACCCAGCCCCTCTATTATTTTTTTTAACTGGGGAGCATTAAACAAAATGAAAGAATTTATGTTAGGATAATGGCTGAAGACAGGCCGGGCATTGACTCTGGGGAGCCCTCTCTGGACCTCCATCCATTGTACATGACCTTATGCTCTTTTTGTGCCAAGCTGGGATGAACAGGCACTTTCCAAGTGGCAGCTTTGCCCTCCTAGCACAACTTCTGCTGGCCAAGTGGATGCATGAAATGAGGGGATATATGGGTCAATGCCCAGAAAAGCTGTAGGACACCCAGACCCAGTGCTCCCCAGGCTACCCCAGCACTCTGCCTAGATATGCTTCCCTTCTAATGGGCCTGGGAAGGGCTGGAGCAGGCCAACCCTCCTGAAGATCCAAGGCTTCTGGGAGTTCCCCACATGTTCCATATTCATAAATGAATAGGAGGCTGCTGCCTTCATATCGTCTCTCCTGCCCCTCTTCCTCTACTTCCAACCAAAGGCCCTGTCTCAGGCTATCTGATGCAGCTCCATTGCCACTCTCTCTGCACCCCAGGGGATTCTGTTGCCCAACTTGGGAAGGATGAGCAGTTCCCAACTTCTCATAACTTGGATCTTCCAAGCCCAGATGAAGCCCGAGACATCAGCAATAAGAGACCACTACCTGGAAATGAGGAGGGGGGGAAGCTTTGGGAGAAGGGGTTGGCAGAAATGACCATAACACAGGTGGGGAACCCAACAGAACATCCCTGGTGGGGGGGAGCAGAGTTTTCCCTGAACTCACTGTGACTGGGGCCACCAGGAACTCTTTTCTGAGCCTCAGTCTGTTCATCTCCAAAATGAGTGAGGTAGGCAGAATGAGGAGAGGTTCTGCAGCTAGGGTCGGACAAAGGGAAGCCCGGGGTGGGGTGTGGATGGGAGTTTCCTCTTCCTACAATCTCCTTCTGAGACTCTCTTGTAGAGAAGGAACCAAGGCCAGGACTGAGAAGCAGATGGAGAGACGCACCTGTTTGGGGTGGAAGTTGCCATTGCGATCACAGTTAGGGATGGGGATGATGAAGAGGTCCTCGTGGGTACGGCCCTGGGAGGCGGCCAGCCGCTCCAGGGCCCGGTGCAGCTCACTCTGGCAGGAGCCCTGGGGCTGAGGAAAGAATGAAACTGTTCACCAAGTTGGAACCCAGTGGCTCCACACCTGCAATCCTAGCTACTCAGGGGGCTGAGATCTGAGGAGAACAGTTTGAAAACAGCCTGAGCATTAAAGTCTGTGAGACTCTTATTCCCAATTAACCAACAAAAAGCTCAAGTGGTAAAGCACTAACCTTGAACAAAAAGCTCAGGGACAATCAGTGCCCAGGAAAGAGGCAGGGAATTTCTAACTAGGAAGGATGGACCAAATTAACACATAAGGCCAAGGCACAAATCCATCAGAACCATCAGCTAAAAAGGACATTAGAACCAAGCCCTGAATCCTAGCTACTCAGGAGGCTGAGATCTAAGGATCACAGTGCAAAGGTAGCCCAGGCAGGAAAGTCCATGAGACTCTTTTTTTTTTTTTTTGGTCCGGTTGTGGGGCCTGAACTCTGGGCCTGAGCACTGTCCCTCAGCTCTTCAGCTCAAGGCTAGTGCCCTACCACTTGAGCCACAGCACCACTTCCGGCTTTTTT